TTTTAATATTCCGATTTATTTGTTGAGCATGTTAAATATACTTGTAAGTATAAGAAACCTCTTCAATATATTCTTAATATATTTCCTTCTATTTATTTGTCTAGTCTGGCAAGACCTTGCTTTTATTCCACAAATACTTTTCTACAACAGTCACTCACATAGAAGAGCGAAATGTTAGCATGAGATTTAAATGCTTGCCGGCAAATCTTCACACTCGGACGGAAAAACATTCACACCTCATGTCTGCCTGAGACTGGACATATTCAATTTGATTATGTTATGTCCGGCAGCTATTTTAGATTTGATTTTCGCTGAGCTCTCTCACTCATGCTCTCTGCTGCACTGCTTGTCGCCTCGAGTATTTTTCATATTTTAATTTAAATTAGTGGAGTGGAGAGAGAGAGGCAGAGAGAGAGAGAGAGAGAGAGAGAGAGAAGGGCAACTGGCACTCGCATGCTCATAGAGATGCTAGCACTCGGCAGCAGACAGCGCTGATGTGACTCACTCAGACTGCGCCTCCTGCTCATGCTTCATCCTGGGCAACTCATTCTGCGCTTAGCGCGCTGATGTATGCTAATGAGCCGCATTGTGCCGGGTCCGGGGAGTCGAGTCCCTCTGACTGGCGGGCCGGTCCATAAATATGCATAATGCAATTAACAACCAAATGTAATTGCGAGCAAGAAATAAAACAGAAAAACTGAAAAAAAGGAAACGAAATGCAGAGAGAGAGAAAAAAGCAAAGATTGCACAAAATAAAGTAGAAATCCAGTGACAAACCACCCGCCAACGACAGTGACAGTGACAGTGACTGGCTGCAACACAGTGACTGCGACTCGTCAGCTGTCGCCTCCTGCTGCTGCTGCTGCTGCTGCTGCTGCTGCTGCTGCTGCTGCTGCTGCTGCTGCTGCTGCTGCTGTGACTGAATGAAGCTGCATTTTTTGCATGTGCTGTACAACTTTCCAGGCTCTTAACCTGTTCCAGCGCACATTTTAATTAGGCTATTAAACAATTGCAGAACGCATGTTAGCTGCCTTTCCGAAACGCTCACCCCCGCTTCCCGCCACGCTGGCAAACCAGTTTTGGCCACTTGGCTCACAGTTCCGTCTCAAATGGCTGCGAATCTGTGCCAAATTTCGCATAGGAAAATACGGCAACAATTCACAGCCAAAAAAGAGAAACAAATATACGATAAACCGTTGCGTGCCTAAGCCTGGCCAACAGCTTGAGATTTCTGTCCACGTCGCAGTTGTCTCAGTCCTTGTCTCTGTCCCAGAGTCTGTCTCCGGCTGTCTGCAAGCCTTTTTGGCCCGTTCGCTTAGCCATGTTTTGCATTTCTCTGCCAGACTTTGGCTCTTTATCGGCTGCGTAATAAAATGTATTTTAATTTGGCTAAATGTTCAATTAAATCGCAACATGCGCAGTTTGTTGTTATTCACATGTCGATGCGTAGAATGCCTACGGACAATAAGCGGACAATACGGCCGACAATCCATGTATCAATTATCGCTGATAGTTCGATAAAGTATCGATGCGTAAAGTCGATATATTTTCGATTCGATTTGCATTTATAAATGACATATTTAATGATTCTCCCTCTGAATGTTGTCTGATTTATTATAATTTGCAAACCTTTAGTCTTCCATACAAATTTTGAATTTATGCCAAGCAAAACTCATTTTTCACCCACAGTGCTTTGGTCGGGTTTCAGTTCTCCTCAAAATTTTGACAATTCATTGAAATTAACACGAAATTATTATTATTATTTTTTGGCTGGAACGAAAGTACACGGAAATTCAGTTAAATTTGTGTCAATCAAGCAAGTGCACTCACTCTGTGTTCACACACACACACTTAAAGAGACAAATTTGTACAATCTCGTTGAGGGTCCTCCAAATCTTTAGTCATTCGTTGTGTAGCTAGAAGCTGGCATTCAAACGATTCAACGGTCTAACATCAAGTTTCAATGGCCGCCACCCCCATATTGGCAACAATCTGTGCGGAACGCTTGACCAAGTTCCTGACACGCTACTCGAGGGTGCAGACTGGCACTTTGCGCTGCAGCTATCCAGTGGTGGCAGTCAAGCCCAAGATCCCGCCACCGCCGCCGGCTCGAGTGCCGCCAGTGGAGCGCAAGTACTCGCTGTGGCAGTCGTCGGAGCAGCAGCAGCAGCAGCAGTATCAGACACCCCTACTCAAGCGATCCAAGCGCTTCGATCAGATCAACTTCGCCCAAGGCCGGAGCAATGCCCTGCAAAGTCGCGAAGCGAACTTACCCGGCGTCGGTCGAGCCCGGCCAGGACAGATTCTGTCGAGTGCTACGCGCAGATCCATAGCCGATTGCATTGGGCTGAGGACGGCGCAAAGCCCACTTGAATTATGTGCCCAAGGTCAGCCGGTGCTGGGCCAATCTGTGGCCCAAACGAAGGCCCGCTACCAGGCCCTAGCCAACTACGCCAATAGTCTTCTCAATTCGAAGTCAAAGTCGAAATCGCAAATACAAGCAAACTTTTAATTGTGTCGTACGAGTTAGTTACGTTATTGTAGTCCGGCAGCGTGAATCTTCTTCCACCTTCGGCTGTAGTCGCATCACAAACTTATTTATTTCATTGTGGATAAACAACAGTCGACTGTGGTAGAAGGATCCCGCTGCCAAATATTTAAAGAAAATAAAATTAAAATAAAAATAAAAATAAGTAAATAAACAAGCAAAAAATTTGTAATTGAGACTGCTCGACTGTTAGATGCCCTCAACCCTGCAGAGAGTTGATATTCCAAGCACTTCTCTTAGCCATGCTGCTTTACATGCATATGCAGGCGCTCTGCTAACAGCGCAGCTAGCAGCGACTGCGCGAGAACTTACTTCACTTCTATAGTGGGACTATCTTCCTTAAACTCTCAGAGCCTGATAATAATTTAAAAAAATGTGTGATTTTTGAAGTACTTGAAGTACTTGTGTCTTTTCCCAAATTTTTGGCGAAGGGGGCGTGGTATCCAAAATCTATAAATCACATAATCTGTGTATTCGTCACATGCATCTACACAGTGAATGTGAAGACTGTAGATCTAAAAGTATTTAAACTACTTTAAAAAAACGAAATAAAATAATCGATTGTCATCGATAAAAACGGAATGGGTGGAGTTATCGATAAAGACGTACTGCTTATAGTGTACACAAGTCCACATGTAAAATTTCAAGACTCTAGTTGTAATATTTTCTGAGATCTCATACGGACAGACGGACGAACAAATAAATAGACGGACCTCGCTAGATCAACTCGGCTGACGATAGAAACGGCTCTGATCAAGAATATATATATATACTCTATGGTGTCTGCCACGCCTCCTCGTGCCTGTTACATAAACTTTCACAAGAACAATATGCCCTGCTTTCCCATTTTGAATGGTAACAAAAAACTTAATCGATTACACCTAAGCTTCGCTTTTCAGTTACCCTGACTCAAGTAGGCGCTCCGTAGGGCATTTAAATAACATTTTCGACCAAGTTGTTTGCCTCACATTATTCAAAATTCCAAATGAAATTTTAAATCAGTTCTTTTATTTTATTCGACGGCTCTAAATTATCACCATGCTTAGGAAACTGGTCCTAGGCTCACCCAGGCCATTAGGGACGATCCATGTGCCGAATGCAAAGCTGCACGGCACAAGTCACTTGGCCAAGAAAAAAGACAATAGCCGATCAAGTGACTCCGAGACGCCTAGGGAAGATAATTGCGAAAAGCTTCAAGAGCCGATATGTTGCCCCAAGATGCATCCCTGTAGCGATGAGACCTGTCAATCGGAGACACGCGATCCCATCAGAGTGAGCCGGAAGTCGTTTTACGAGGCGACCGATCGGATTGCCCAGAACAACAGAATAAAAAATAAGACCGATCAGTTCCAGTCCATGTGGGAGGATGCGGTCAATCCCACCAAGGAGCAGCTAGCGCTGTGGACCTATCCGCCCGCATGCTGTCCAAAGTGTCCGAACACCCCGTTCGATGTGCTCTACTACCGTCCGTCAAACAAGTGCCGTCAATACCAGCGCACCTGGTGGGAATGCTGTCCCAAAATGGTGCCCAAGCGGGTCTGCTGCTGGTGCGATGCTATACCGCCCGAGAACCACATCCGTAGTCCTCCCAGTTCTCCTTCGACCGGCGTGTGCTCCGCAGATCACGAAAAGTCGCGCTTCGACTGCCTCAACAAAAAAGCCCTGGGCTGCCCGCGAGTGCAGCTACCCGGCTGCAGAGCAGCGCGCGTTCCTCCGACCTGCGACATAGTGCGACGTCCGAAGGTCTGTGACAAGCCCAAGTGTCCCTATCCCAGCTATTCGGAGTGCAGGCAATTGGATCCGGCCGAGTTACCCGAACGTCCCGCAGAGTGCCGTTGCCTTAAACTGTTCTCAACGTGCGAAGCCCATCGCGCTGATATCAGAAGAGATGCGATTCAGTCCAAATTTTGCGAATGCCCCACCTGCAAATAGAACAAATCCATTTCAACTACAGTGCATAATTTAGATGCATATGTAAGAGATGCAATATAGTTAAATGGACTTGCTCTATTGGCAAGTCCAGAGGTGCTCACATGTATGATCTAGAATGTGTATATGAGTTTACAAAATACATATATGATCTGATTTGAAACTACTTTTTCTCGTATGCTTGATATTTCTTATATATATGAGGTCTGTCTAGAAAGAACTGCGACTCTTATCGACTCTACTCCTCTTTTCTAATCTTGATCAGCTTCTGCTTTGAGGGTCTCTTCTCATTCATCGTAGCGTCGTTCTTTTAAGGGTCTCTCTAGTGCCGTGTAAATTTTTTGACAGATCTCGTAGTATACTGGGCTTTTTATTGGTTACTAAAGAAAGTCTTATAGGCAGAGACCTCATTTATCGGTGGATAGAAAAGATTTTCCAATGCCTTCCTATAATCATATCTTATCAGCCTTTCAAAAAACATGATGCTGACGTTCAGTACATGCCAAATCGAAGCAGCCTCTGTCGGTTGAGTGTGTTCAATCAGGAATGTGTGATTGATATATTATAATATAAGTTGGCACATATTTCAATAATTCTTTTTTGGGGCAATTTCCAAATTTCCGTTACCTAAATTATCAATATAAGACTTAAAGAAGCGGCCGCTGCGATGTCCCGCTTACCTGGGATAGCTCACTGCTTACACTGTATAAGTCGCTGCAGCCTGGCCTCATCGTCGCGGATGCCCATCATATGGTGCTCCGCCGCCGAGCACACCCGGGCACGAGATGGAGGAGTATGTAACGCCGATAGCAGAATGAATTGCCAGGGACAACATAATGAGATCGGATCAACGAGGTACACGTCCAGTTCCAATGAAATGCCAAATAAATCGAGTGAACGGAATGTCAATGATGCATGTCGGAGCTTCAGCAGCGGCGATCTGAATGCTGAATTGGGTCAACCAAGCAAAACAGAGTTCGCGACAAACTATGATGAGGTGGCGGAGGCAAGTGCAGTGCAGGACTTGCAGACTGTCCAAAACGAGCTGATTAACGCCGAGGACAGTGAGGAAGAACTGGAAACCGAGCTAGCACGACGGATCGAGTCCATAATTAAGCGCTGCGATAGCGCAGATGGCGAAAAGACAACCCTGGGTCGATTGGTAGGCGTCGAGTTCGATGAGCAACCCAAAGTGAATTTAAATTTCGGTTTCAAGGCCGATTTCGACAAGTTCGAATTTCACGATGAGGGAAATTCCATTTTACTTGCCCAGAATAATGAAGGAAGCGATGTCGAGGCATTAGCTAACACTGACGGCAGTCAGCAGCTCGGAAAAATCGTCAACAGCGAGGTAAATACCGCATCTATGGACAGACGAATCACGATGTACGACGAAAGCCCGTTTATGGACATCAATGATCCCTCCTCGGAACCTAGCGCCCAACTACCGAAGAGCAGCAACGAGTTCACCGAGGCGTCGCGTCGAATTGGCGAACTTCATGCTGCCATGCTCAAGGTTGTGAATCATAGCGAGAGCTTAAAGCATTTGTCCAAAGAGTTTAAGACTCTGTCTCTTGCCAAAAGCGAAGATTCAAGTCGGCTAGACAACACCAAGCCGATTCAGCGAATCAATATTGAGGATGACTTCATACCAGCCTATAAGCCCTTCCAGACTATCGAGGTGCCTGTAGCGGGCGCCGAGTCGAGTGAGACGCCCGAAGCAACCGATGAGGAGCCAAGCATGTCGATGGTCAAGATTGACAGTGATGCGAAGCCAGATGTGAGAGCTGAGAGAGCTGAGAACAGCGAGAGAGCCGAGAACATCGAGAGCTCTGAGACCAATGAGAGCGCTGTTAACAAATCTGGCAAAACTGTCATCGACACGAACATGAATGATCCGCAGTCGAAGCAGATAATGCGATATGCACTGCTGCGCGCACTTCAGAGACTGGAGGACGGCACTGGGTATTTTTCAGCTAAAATTATTATCACAGATCCCTAAAATATGATCATCAATGCACGAAACGATTCGATTTTTTTTTAGATTGTCTTTTTTAATAATTTTTTATTAAAATCGACATCCAGAAAAGCAATAAATATTCACCGTTGAGACAGCAGAGACTCTCGACTTGGGAATTAAGGCTAGCCTAGGCTGGGCTCGCCTGCTAATTGACAGCCATGTCCAGGATCAGTGGTGTTGTCAGGCCATGCGGACTGAGTTCATACATGGATCCTGGTCATAGCTGCCGGCTTTAGCAGTAAGAGCCCTTTAGGCCGTAGGTATCGCGTCTGATTTGCAGCCGAATGCCCTCGCACATTGACCAGTTGCCCAGGGGGCACTCAATAGAGCGTCGAGCTCTGGCCACTCGGTACATGTCCGAGAAGCAGGGATGGGGCGCTCGTAGCCTCTTGCAGTGCTCCCTCTTTCTGGTGGGACGACAGTCCACGGTGCAGCGCGCCGGCTTGCAGCAGGGCCAGTGGATCTTGCAGCACTTTGAGGTCGGGTCGATTATGGCGTTCTCGCAGATGTGGCGCATGCGCGAATAGTCGAATCTGCAGGTCACGAGGGGGCAGGGCTCTTTGACACGCTTCAGCACCTCTGGCGGCTGAATGCCATCCAGGCAGCACACCTTCTTCAGGCGCTCCTTCACTGGCGGACATTCGCTCCAGGTGCGCTGATACATTCGGGTCTTGTCCGACGGCTCGTAGTAGATGGCATCGAAGCGCGGAAAGCGGCCTTTGCAGTTCGAGCGCGCAGGACCGAAGTGTGGCTCCCACATGGACCGAAACGGCGGCTTCTCCACATCCTGCTCCCGGATGCGCTTATTCCAGGGGCAGGGCTGGGCCGGACAGGGCGCCTTGGCCGCCAAGCGTGAGACACAGCAGGGCCTCTCGAGCAGATTCTGCTGCCGCTGTCGCTGCATGTTTTTATCGAAGGGCAGCACGTGCTTGAAGACATTGCGTGCCGACTCACATGGGTCGTCGACGGCATGGCAGTCCGGATCCTTGTGCTGGCAGGGCGGATCGGCGGGCGGATTCCGGCCGCCAGATAAACAACGAAGCCTCACGAAACAGTTGCCAGCTGCTTTCAAGAAGCTTCTGTGCGGGGACAGCAGACGAAACGTTCTGAAATTTAGCTCCATGACCGAATACGAATTTTGATAATAATTACCCAGGCCGAGGCGAAGGAAAACTTTTCCAGAAAATCAAAATAGCTCTCGTCTCATAGCCCCTTGACTTGCCATTCAGCGCAAAGGGCGTGCCCGACGCTTGTACGGACAGTAGTTGACTAATGCCTTCGTGCAGCTCTTCGCCAGCTCCGAGTTGCGATGATAGAGCCGCCATATCTCGCACAGGCTGGGCACGGCCTGGCAGGCGCACTCGGTGTCACAGTAGCGCGGAGTGAAGAGCTGATTGCACTCGGAGAAGCTGGGAAATGGCGCCATCACCTTGGCGCACTGCGACGGGGTCTTGGCCGTTTTGCACTTCGGCTCTGGCTTGGTGTGCCAGCGCGTCTCTTGGCACAGCAGCTTCATTTTGTGCGCAAATCTATCCGTCATCGAAATCGGCCCGCTGGGCGGCTTCCTTGTGCGCCGCTCCGCTGGCACATGGTGCACCGGCGCGGGACAGCAGATCTTTCGTGGGCGCAGCCAAATGAGCGGGCACTCGGGCCACGTGCGTTGGTATCGGCGCGTCTTGTCCGACGGCTCATAGTGGCGCGCATCGTGCCTGTAGAGCTCACACTTCTCCTCAAGGGGTCGTATGATCTTCAGCAGTTGCTTGGGATATTGCTCTAAAAATAAGTGCAACGGATCCTCATGTCTGATGCAGTCGTTCGGCAGTTTGTTCGGCTTGCATCGGGTCATTTTTGCTTCAAGGCATTTCTGCGACTCGGCGTCTCGAATTTTACAACATTTGCCTGGGTCGACGTCAAGGTTCACTGAGTGGGCGTATCGCTTTGAGAAAAACACCAAACTTCTGGCCATGGCGGCAGTGCTCCGCGCCAGTATTCCTGACATTAGTCTGGGACATAAAGACATTTTTTTGAATTTTGTACAATAATTTGTTTTGGAATGTCAAAATTGGAATCGAATACTTAAAACTAAAAGAAAAACTGCAGGAGGGAAAAGTGGAGACTGCAGTTTTATGGGCAGTAGAACGGATGGATTAAAAGATGTACAGAATGACGGATGGATAAGAGAGATATACGGACAGACTAACGGAAGGACAGTGACGGAGGAACGGAATGATCGTCGCACGGAATAATGCGAGGGAAGGACGGACGGACTAAAAGCACAGAATGTCAGACGTATAGATGCGACGGAAATACGGACAGACTAACGGAGGGACGTTTGGATGAGCGTACGAGCGGCACGTCAGACGGACAGACGGATGAAGGTACGGACAGAGTGACGAATGAACGGAATGAACGTCGGACGGATTGCTATGAGGGAAGGACGGAACGATGCTCGTCCGGATGGAACGACGAAATGACAGATTGACGGACATGAAATTGATGCAAATCATAATATAATCAATATATTTTAAAGAGTCACGCCTCCTGCTATATGTTTTCCTTTATGCCTTGAAGCCACATTCAAATAGCTTCGCACATAATAGACGAGAACTGTTTTATATTTGTATAGAAATAAATAAATAAATAAATAAATAGAAATAAAGCGAAATGCAATTGGACAGGTCCTTTAATAAATTTATTCATAACTAAAATCGAAATATCGCAATATTTCATATTGTTTATCTTTTTCGACAATTCCTATGCTTGGTGCTCTAATTTAGTCACAGTACATGAATAGGCACAGTTTGGTGCAGGCGCAAAGTATGGCTCCGCATAATTGCTTATAATTTCTTTCAAAATTTATACCGATATATATATATAATGTATGTATATACACACATATATACTATATATATAAATTTTATAAAATTTCGCATAGGTCAGATGGCCTACGATTTCTTGTTGCGAAAGTATTCCCAAACACTGCACATTGAAGGAGTCTTGAGGCAGTTGCATTCAACGGGTGGAGCGGTCGGCAAGGGATCCATGAGGCACTCGGAGAATGCGGGATACTTGGTTAGGCGCTTGCGACAGTCCTTTGGCTTTCTGAATCCGACAGTGCATTTTGGCGGAACACGGCCCGGCTGGCAGCCCGGCATTGTGACCCGTGGACAGGGAGAATCCCCGGTTTTCTTCAGGCATTGGGCCAGACCTAGATCTGGGGCACCCAAAGTGCAGGGTTTGGCTTCGCACGCATCTTTTGGAACAAATTTCTTGAACGTGCGACGCTCGTACTTAACTGGCTTCCATGCGCACTGCATCTTCACCTTGCGCCGCTTCATTACGCACTTGATCCATGTGCGTGGGTATTTCTTCTTGAGCTTATCGGACGGCCTGTAGTACTTCAGATCGGCACGGGGTACGTCAAATGCACAGGGATCGCCTAGACACTTCTTTCGCTCATTGACAAATGAATCAATCATAAACTCGGGATCAGTGCGGCATTTATACTCTGTCCGACGCAAAGATTGCCAGCATGGATCCTTCGATTTAAACGGATCGGGCGGCTCAATCCTTTTCAAGTCCTCCCTTGCTGGCGATATGCGGTACGATTCCACGCAATCCTCGCACGACTCTGCGCCATACAGAGTGTCAAGGCCCCGCTTTGAAAATCCGATTGATGCAAATAGTTGTTGGTTGAATTGCTTCGAGCATTTTTGTAGAGCAGCTAGTGTCAAGCTAGAAAAATTATTCCGTAGAGATTGCATTGTGGATGAGCCAAAATTAAAAATAAAAAATGGTCAGTAAAATGTTTTGCCAAACCTATGGTCCGAACCAAAAACAAAAAAAAAAAAAAAAACTTTTGAATTTCGAATTTTACTGATCTATTTTCATTATTCCTTTTTCCGGAACGAAACTTCCTCCAGCAAACCTAATTTTCGACTAAATTTTGTGTTTCCCAACGCACGAGCATTTACTCATCTTTGTAAAGTGAAAAGCAAAGCCAGCCTAGAATTTGAGGCTAGGATGTAAGATTCGACAGAGCAGCTAAACTGAAGCTGAACTATTGTAGCTAGCTGATTTGCTAATTTGCTTAAGGGAAGGAGCAAATATAAGAAATGAATATTAAATATTTATTTTGATAATGCCACATATTAAGCTCCAAATATTTTCCACGCTCGAACAAAAAATTCGTCAAGAAAGCTAAAGCCGAAAAAATTAAAGAGGAGCGGTCAAAATGAGTATGAATGAAAAATCTGAAGTTTAAACTGAAAAGAACTAAATCCTAGAGTTATTTACATCGGTTGTGGTTGGAATTAATTTTTAAAGCCCTTTGCCATTTACTCTGAGCCTCTAATGCCTATACTGTTAATGGCATATGCAAATAAATATTTTTAATTTGTAAATACTTTTTCATTTCAATAAATTAGTAGTTATCGAATTGGTTTATATGACTATTCGATAAAAGCATAACAGATATTATTATCTATTATCTTTTTACATTGTAAACAAAAAAGTTTAGTTTCCTAGAACCACTTAATATAAAATATCTAAGTGAAAGCTCTCGTATAATATAAAAAATACTTCTCTATTATCCCAAAAACCTTTTGCATAAATATAGCTGCTTTTTATTTAATTAAAAATACTAGTCAATGTGAGAATACATAAAAGCTTGATATTGAATGAGATTGAAAGAAATTATCAATTATTCACTGATTCACTGAATAAAATATATAGATAATATATTAATATATGAAGCGCATTAAAATATTTGGCTTCTTATTAACTTGTCATAATCAGGGGAGCATATTCAACATATTTTTGTGAATTTCTCAGATACTTGAGCCATAATCTCATATATAGCCTTGCCATATACAAGGCAAAATATATCAGTAGACACACATCTGCAATGCAGATAAATACAACTCAAGCCACGATTTGTTATTAATGTTGTATTTTAAACTATAAAGAAAATGTAGTGAAAGAAACCAAAATAATCTCAACTATACTGTCGACATGATATCAATTACGGAAACATTAAAAATAATATGCAGTGGTGGACTTGGGGACGCGTTGGCAGCGGAAGCATTCGTTTATGGGGGTTTTCTTGAATTGGGGCTTCGGCCTTTTGGCTGTTATGGGCTGTTTGTACTCCTTCAGGGGCTTGGACTTCTTGCGCGCTGGTGTGTGTCGAAGCGGAACGTATGGCTGTATGTATTGCTTGACTTTCAGGTCCTCAAAGTCCGTCCAAGTGCGACTGTAGCAGCGATCCTTCAGGCGCATCGGCTTGTAGTGGATCAGATCTAAACGATCTCCGAGTGACGGCTTCGATCGATACTCTGACTCCGTATTGTCCGGATCGATACCCGCATCGTCTGCTACATCATTGGCCAGTTCATCGTCTCTGCGTGCCAACCAGGTGTCAGAGATAGGGCCCGAATTAAGCGAACGTGGGCGATAAAACTGCTGATCGTATCTACAGTGCCGACTCGAGTTGACCGTCGTCTCCGACTGGCGGGCCTGCTTCCGCAGCTCCCAGCAGCTATTATCAAAAAGCGTCGAATTGGCAGCCAGATGAAGGCTCCGCTTACCTAATTTCAAAAGTTCATTCAATTGCTTAAACGTTTGCATTTTCGCTTTTTGAATTTTGACAACGAAAAAATTTGAATTACTCGTTTTATCTAGAAATTTGATGAAGTGTGAAAGTGTGTGGCTCGGTCAATTTTTATTTCAATGAATGAAACCCAATTCGAAAACGACAAAGCAAGCTAAGGTTACTCTGTTTTAAAATTGCATCGATATCGATTAATATCGACATCAATATACATGTATCAAACTATCGATTGCTCCTAATATTTTTGCAACTTTGTTTTTCATTTATTTATTTGTATATATTTTATATTCTTCAATATATTATTTATCGAGCTTCAGGCAGTCGCATTCGCTTGGCGACTTTGGCGGAATTTTGTTCTTTTTGCACTCGGAAAAGCTGGGATAGGGAGCGCGCTTCTTCTTGCAGTCCTTGGGCTTGGGCGTGCGCTTGCAAGACGATTTGCCGCTGCCTTTCGAGTCACACTTCGGTGTCTCCTTGCCACAAGAGGCATCCTTGCTGCACAGCCGGCGAGTCAGCGTGGCCAGCCACAAAATGTGCCGACTGGCGGGAAATACCTGATTTTGTAGCATTTTTTTTTTTGGGAAAATTTTGAGATTTTTTTTTTTTTTTTTCGAAAGAGAAAAAAATGCGAATGACAGCAGGTCGAACTTTGAGAATCAAGAAGCCTACTCTATTAGTCACGGGGATGAGAAAAGGTTTCTCTTTATTATTAATTATGAATAAATGCGGTTGTTGTACTTATAACTATCTATATATATTTTTTCGGTAATTCAGAAATAATTTAAATTAAATTAAAAAAATAATAATAATTGCGCTTCTCAAGCTATTTCACTCTGTACTTTCCTCTGCGGTCATAACCAAAAACTCAGCCAGTTATCAAATTATTCGCACCTCTCTACTCGTCATAGGCCGTACAGTCTCGATAATGTCTTAAGCGCCAGCTCCAATTGTTCCAATTGCTCCAATGTGATAGCTGTGCTAGTCAGCTCCTCTCTCTCGTTCTCTCTCACTCTTGTTGGGTCAGTCTTAAGCTTCTCCGCATAGCTTATGCGGTGTCAATCCTCGAGCGACGCGCCGCCGCAGTATAGCCCATGCATCGCAGGTGAAGACTTTGTTCAGGCAGCCACACTCCACTGGGGGCAAGGGTATGGCCGGATCCCTAATGCATTCGGAATAGCTGGGATAAGGCGTCTTGCGCTTTTCGCAGTTACCCAGGGAGGGAAAGGCCGCCTTGCACTTGGGCGGCCTGCGACCAGTCTTGCAGCACACAGACTTGATATAGACACACGCACTCTTGGCTTTATCAAGGGTTTCTGGGGGCTTTTGGGGCGTGCCGCCGGTCATGGCTCCACGCGGGCGGCGCTCGATTTTGGGGCGCTTCATTTTCTCATAGAGGCAAACTTTCTTCGGTTTGATCAGCAGGCGAGGACACTCGTTCCACGTTACCTGATACTTGCGCTTCAGTTTGTCGGATACGGAATAGTATTTCATATCGTAGCGCAGATCCATGGCGCAAGAATCCTGGCCACAGCCCTCGATCGTCCACATTGAAACTAAAGGTGGCTGTTTCGCTGCCGGCTTGGGAACGTACGGCTCAGTGGGTTTCTGGCCACATGTGTATTCATTTAATACCAAACCACATTTCGACTCTTGAGGCTTCTCTTCACACTTATCATCTGAATAATGACGAAATGACTGATTCGCCAATTGGCAGTAGGCCAATCGAGCTACATTGGCGGATTTTCCCACTCCACATCTCTTGGTAAGTGACAGCATTTCAAAAATCGCAACACAAAATCTCTGAGTGGTACCGAAAATTTCCTCAACAAATTTGAATTTAAATAAAAAAAAAAAAAAAATATATAGTCCAAAATTTAAATTTATTAAAAGCCGAAAGGTTCGGAGCAGCAAGCGCCGTAGCTATGACTGTTCGCATCGAAAGCCAAATGCTTTGAAATATATTCATGCAAGGGCTTCTACGATTGCGGTAAATCGATATAGAGTAGAAGTGACATAGTCCAATAAAAAGATATGCCCAATCATTAATGTTTTTTTATTTGAACATAAATAAAAGCTAACTATTTTGATTTTTAATTCAAATTAAAAACCTGGAAATGGATAAGTTATGTCTGAGAAATTTCATGCTCAAAGCAAATGCAGATGGATAGACGAAACTTTCTTATCGATAATATTCGTTTTTATATATTGACTATTTTATATGATGTATGATAGACGAAAATGGCGGCCGAGCATAAATTTGTAAAAAAAAGACTGAAAGGCTTAGTAAATATGAAAAATATTCTTCGATATAATTCGATATAATTTCTAGTAAAGTCTTTTAAAAGCAAAAAATTTGTTTTTAATCTGTGGCGTTTATTTTTTATTTTATATTTATTTTTATTTTTTATATCGTAAACACAGAAAAGTTAGCAATGGCTTTTTTGTCTTATTCATCGTTTAGCACTACCAATTCTTCTTTGTTACACTCATCTTATCCATATATCCTTATGTTGCATGTAAAACGGTCTCTGGTCCTGTTTTGATTAAATTTCCATCCTTTTCAGTTCTACTGTTGATTCTCTTTTCGTTGATCACTACTGAAGATTTCCTCAGGCTTTGTCAGTTCAGCGACCTCGGGGCTTTCTTTTAAAAAGGCTTGTGATATTTTGCCTATAGGCTTTTCTTCCCTCTGTTTTCTGTTGGTGATCTCTTCAGCCATATCGAAGGATTTCTGTTGTATTTGATCTGTACTCAAGATTTCGTCATCCTGATGAAAATATTCCTCTTCCTTCTGCTTTCTACTGATGATCTCGTCATGCTGGAAAGGTTTTTCTTCCCTCTGTTTTCTACTACTGATCTCTTCGGTGATATCGAAGGTCTGCTGTTCCATTTCTTCTGTACTTAAGATCTCGTCGTCTTGAAGAAAAGACTTTTCTTCCTTCTGTTTCCTGCTGATGATCTCATCAACCTGGAAAGGTTTTTCTTCCCTCTGTTTTCTACTGGTGATTTCCTCGGCCATATCGAAGGGCTGCTCCTCAATTTCTTCTGTACTCAAGATCTCATCGTCTTCCTTCCGTCTCCTGCTGACGATCTCATCATCCTGGAAAGGTTTTTCTTCCCTCTGTTTTCTACTGGTGATTTCTTCGGCCATATCGAAGGGCTGCTCCTCAATTTCTTCTGTACTCAAGATCTCATCGTCTTCCTTCTGTTTCATGTTGGTGATCTCATCTTGAATAGGCTTTTCTTCTCTCTGTTTTCTACTAGTGATCTCTTCAGCCATATCGGAGGTTTGCTGTTCCATTTCTTCGGTACTCAAGATCTCGTAATCCTGAATAAGGGACATTTCTTCGATCTGTTTTCCGTAGATCTGTTCGTCACTCAAACCCACAAGACTCTCTTCATTTTCTTGTCCCCATTCGATTTCCCCACTCACTTCGATTGGCTTTTCGTCTTTTTCATGTTCGCAGATCGCTTCAACCTCACTGATTTGATTTTCGTCCTTTTGTTTTTCGTAGAAAACATGTTCAATCATGACTATAGGCTTTTCTTTTTTTTCTTCGATGCCCTGCTCCATCTTTTGATCCCCGCTGATAGGCTCAGGCACCTCATCGACAGAGGCTTCCTCCTCTTCTGTGGAGATGACCTCCGCGCTTGGACTAACAAACTCAGGCCGCCGGACTGGAAGAAATATTTCTCCGCTTATGAAGATGAGCTTTTCTTGATTATTATTTTTTGATGGTATGTATGGACTCAGAGCGCTGGGCTTCTCATCCGATTGCTTTCGACCGAAACTATTCCCATCGTTGTCTGTTGAGCTCGTCGTCTTGTGTCTTCTGTCGTCGAGCTTTTGCAAGACTAGACGAAGCGTGGTTTTATCCTCCAGCGGCCGGCTGATATGGTTTACATTCTGAATGTTTTTGACTGCGCTCTTCTGCTTCAGTAGCAATCCGTGGTAGCTGTCACCCACTGATCCCAGCAGCGAGAATCTTGAGGTAGTGGAGAAACGCCGACCTACTTGGACTATGGCTCCAACGCCCCTCGCCATAGACTGCATGCCAGACATTTTCCCCCAAGGATAAACAAAAAGATGGGAAATAAAAATAAAATAAAAACTGGAATTTGATGTTATTGCCAGTCGAAAGTTGTTTTCATTGTGTCGAAAAGATGCCACACACCCAACACAATCGGAATGTCGCACGAGAATTTCCCATGGCCTGCCATGATTAGAAAACAAAAATTCTGCTTACGAAATAAATCATTTACAGATTGGACTTTTTTATACGAGTGAACGAACCAAGTGAGTCTCTGACCTAGCAATCAATTTTATCCTCAATTCACTGGGACAGAAATAACTTTAATCATTACAACTTAAGATTAAACATTTGATTAATCACATTGCAGGATTTTACATGAAATGAGTCCAGTTAACATTTTACGGCCGTCCTAACTAAATTTCATTAGAGCAACCAAGACCTCTTTTGTTTAATCTACTGATCTATTTGATCGTCAATTAATTCACCGAGGCACGAGTCCTCGAAGTCAACGTTTGTTGAATCACAAGTAATTTTATTAAAAATCAAAAGTGCTACACAGTTATAAATCAATTTATTTATTTCACGGTCGTCTTTTAAAAGATATTCAACCAAAATGCCTTTATGCAATCAAGGCTTCCTTTCGCAGGGATTCATGCTGATGTTTCCGGTTTCGAGGCGTCTATTCAAAATTCTGTTTAGCTCGCATTGGGGTATCTCGGCTAGGCAGGTGCATTCGGTCCTGCGCTTCTTGCGCAGCTTGGGTCGCGCACACTCCGAGAAGGCCGGATACGGCGCCTTCACTTTCACGCAATCTGAGGGGAAGCGGACCCGATGGCATCTGGGTGGAATCCGAGCTGGGCCGCAGCGTGGCAATTTGATCCTAGGACATCCCAGCTCAGCAGGCGTCGCTTTTTTGCACGGCGGTGGCTCGCAGGCCGTGGCCGGCCTCTCACTTTTATCACGGCGGTTAACGGGTGCCCGTTTAATCTTTTCAAAGCAGCAAATTTTCTTCGGCATGATCGCCACTGGCGGACACTCCGACCAGGTGACTTGGTACTTGCGCTTGTTTTTGTCCGACTCCTTGTACAAACACACATCGAAGGGGGGAAACGAATCGGCGCATGGGTCAGGACAGCATTCTTGGCTAAACTCAATAAGGTTATAAAAGGGAAAGGTTTGACGTATTGTCTTCGCATCTCGTGGCTTAGGATGGGTATCTTCACACTTTCCGCTCTGATCCTGTGACTTCTTGCTCTTGTTCATGCAAGTAGGAGTAGGATTGTGCTTCTTCGAAAAGCTCTGACGTACAACAATATTACGTGCTGGTCCTAGCAGGCAACGAGCTCCCTTAGAAGTCTGTTTCCATAACGACATATTTACTGGATGTTTTTTAGTCAACAAAATAAATACGGGGAATTTTGAAAATTTTTCCAAGAAACCAAAACGGAAAAATTAATAATAAAATTTCTCTGTCGCCGTCGCTGCTGAAAGGAGACTGACGAATTTCAAATCTGAATCCGGATTCAAAGCATCAAACCTAATGACTAACACTTCGTCGCCTACATTTTGGAAATACAATATTCATATGCATAAAATGAGAGCTGAATGTTTGTATACCCATTAAAAATTGAAGACCAGGGTATAATGGTTTGTGGAAATGCGAGTAACTAACAGAAGTAGCCATGGCAGATCCCACCCAGGCGACAAGCTGGGTTAGTTGTCTTCAATGGCAACAATTGAAAGTTCTGGGAATTTTCGGAAATTGATTAATTTTCTATAGAGTGTACAGCTAATATGCTGAAAATTTCACTGATATCCATTTTGTAACTCAAAAGTTGTTAAGCGAAACACGTGGTCAACTTATTAAGTATATATTTATATAGATTTTCTTTATGTACATATCTTAAAATTTTCGAATACCCGTAGTACATGCAGCCGCTATCGCTGTGACAGTTGTTCTATCCGTCTGTCGTCTCTGGCTACTTATCGATGTAAATGCAAAGCAATAGCAGAGCAAGAAAAAGAGCAGTAAAATCTCGCTCATCTCGCATGCAAAACATCTGTGGAGTTCCTGCTGCGCATGTGCAAATGCAAACAAAACAAAAAGAAAGAATACATAAAAATGCTCTAGTCGGGTGTACACGACGAGTGAATACCTCAAAGACAGCAGCAAGCTAATGTGAATCAAGCAGCAGGCATACCCCATCTGCATAGAGAAGGAAAAGAGAGAGAGAGAGAGATGGAGAGAACTGCGTGCCATATTAAATTCACTTTATAGCAAATTACCAATGCAGATATACTCACACAAATCAGTTATACTCAACATCTATCAGCATATGTGTAGATCGTATATATATGAATATAGTATACCTATATATATATATATATATGCATGCAGGCCGCATTTATTTGAGTTTGATGTACGAGCGCGTCTACCAAATGCATGTGCATAATCAAGCGAGAGACAATCGAAATGAGTGGAATCACATTTAAGCAGCTGCCAAAAGGCAAAGCTCGACTTCAACATAATTGATGGATGGATGGATGGATGGAACGATGGCTGGCTTGCTGGCTGGCTGGCTGGCTTGGCTGCCCTCGCTGGCTATACGACAAGACGTTCTCTCAGCATCTCAGCCTCTCCGTATATACATATTTCTTTCGCCTACCTGCCTAAATAATGATGTCGCATTATTTATGCCGCTCTTGATTTGCATAGGCATAGTGGGTCGTAGCTCTAGTTGCGCTGCCTGGGCTCAGGCAAAAGGCAGAGGCAAAGGCAAAAGCGAAGTCAATGCTTTCTTTAATAAATGTTTAATTTATAATTGATTTTCTCTACGCTCCACATTCATATGCACGTAAGCACATGGACAGAGCGCCTTGGTCTTAGCTAAGCTCCACAACTTCTGCTCAGGCCAGAGGGCGACTGGAACCGCAAAAGGATTTTGCCCGCGCACGAAAACACTTAATTAATTCGCATAGACAGACAGGATGTGTACGGACAGGGGGCTGGTGGGACGGGGGAGACATGGCAAACCGAGGACATGGCCCACCCAGCTGGTCAGACAACCACACAAACACACACACGCACACACACACATTCACATAATTGAAATAATTAGAAATTAGAATGGAAAATGTATGCAAACCAAGTTGACGATTACAACGCCCTAGAAATGCGACTCCCACCCACGCCCGGGCCACGTATTCGGCCTAACGAAGCATATTTAAAGTTTAGCTACGTCCTAACTACTACTACTACTACTACTATATGATTGTATGTGTGTATCAGTGTGTGTATATATAGGTATTTATATAGGCTTTGGCCCTTTGAGCAAGCTGGCAGTTGAGGCCCAGTCGCCATGCAGCTAAGCAGTTTCGCCTTACATTGTATCAATGGCAATTAGAGATGGGCTTTGGGCTTATGATAATCGATTACTCGATTCGTTTAAGAAGTATAATAAAATTAAAATTAAAATTTGTTTGAAAATTTATTTAAATATTAAATACACCTTCAGTCAAAGCGTTATGTGCATCAAGTCAAGATGCATAGCCGATTATAGGATTTTTGCATATTTATTTAACATCTGATTTTTACATATTTTTCTTAAATTTAAATATAGCAAACACATCTAGTATATAGCAATGCATAGAAAAATTTTCAGATGTATTGTCGTTTAATTCCAAATAATGGCTGCCTAGGGAATAATAAATAAATATATCTATATATATAAAAGAGAGTTGTGTAAAAGTGTCCAAGCACTTATAACTCGAGATCTGCTGGACCAATTTTCATGGTATTTTATTTGTTGGATTTGTCTCCGCAACGAGTTTAGTATAGGGTCTTAAAAATACTGAAAAAATTTGCCGAATACTTGAAAAACGCGGTTTTTTCCCCAAATGTTCAAATTTTTTTTATACCCAGTAGGCTTGGTAACAGTGACAGTTTTGACAATAGTGTAGAAGTAAATAAACAAATGTAGTCAGTCAGTCTACGGTCTCCTGACCTCGAGCAGACCTGACTATTCAAAAAAAAAAANTTATTTTATTTTGTTGGGCATTGTTTTAATTTAAGAATTTTCTTTAATTAATGGAATAATTAATACAATTTAATCAAATAATGATTCACTTTGCTGTAGATGAAGGCAAAAAGTTTTCTCGTCTTTAACGCAATGCAAATATCATATTCTTAATTACCGATGCTACTTATATGTAAACCGATAGTTTTGACATGTATACTCTCATTATCATATGACATTATACTCACCTATTATTCTCAACAGTATGACTAGCTCAATTCATTGGCAACATTGCGCCATTAGTTCACTTTGTCCGCTATAATTGCGCAATTAATTGAAAATTCACTCCTTGCGATAAATCTACCCTGCTCAAGCGAATCAGCATATTCGATAACAAAGGGGCGCTTCCACTGCCATTTGCTGTAAGCCAAAAGCAGGACATCGTTAAGGACTACAAAATGACGTGGGGATACATTTGCTGCTAATATCCGTTTACGTCTTCAGTTGGAAGAAAATTACAATATTTCGTGTGAGATAGTTTGCCTGACTACATCCACAACCACGCCCACCCACACCACAGAAACATATTGAACATATATACATATATACTTAATTTATATACACAGCTGTATATAAAAGAGGCAAGGAGAGGGAGCAAGAGCGGGAGTGGCAGAGGGAGAGCTACTTTTGTATCTAATTTAAATTTCACAATTTGGTGAGGCAAGAAAAACGCCAAGCGAAAAATGAGCCGGGCCCTCAGCTTAAGCTAATTTTCTCGAGTTGCGTGGTTGCCGCAGCAGTGGGCTGGACGGCTGGGGGGGCGGGGGAGCTCTATGCGGGCATAGTTTGGGCCCTGTGCCGGATTAAAGCCCAGCAAGTGGACACAGACAAGAGGCTAGCAGGAGCAAAAGGAGGCTTTCAGCTTTGGGCCGTTGCTGTTGCTGTTGCCGTTTGCCTAGCTGCTTAGCCAAATTATATTATGACTTGTTTAAAATTCAAATTTGAAAACACTAAAATCATGTTTTCGATGTCTGGCCGCCGTCGTCGTCCTGCTCGGCTCGGCGGATAGTTTTGGGCAAGGGTTTAAGCAGCGCTCGCCCAAGGGTGCAGCAGAGGGGTGGGTCTGGCATCTTTAGCTGTGTCTGTGTGTCTGTCTGTGTGTTGTCCTAGCCGACTCAAGGCAATGTCCCTTGCTTGTATGTATATGTGTGTGCTTATTATATGTAGCCTAAACATCGCCTCCACTAGCCACATAAATTTTACATAGAACTGTTTAAAACTCTCCTTGTGTGTGTGTGTGTGGGTGTGTGTGTTTGCCATTTGCTTCTAGACTATTTTAATGATTTCATTAGTTGAGCTGGCTGGCAATTTAATAAGGACATTTAAATGGATAAAATTGATTTTCCAATAAATCTGCATAGCAAATTGAATATCGCTCTATAATATATATACTTTCCGCTGTGCGAGGTGTGTAAATGTGCATTTAGTTTATTATTTATTATATTGTATCTACACACACACAGACACACACACACACTTATATGGAAAATCAATGGCAGCTAGCTGTCCTAACCATTTTCGTAGCCAAGTCAATTAGGCTCATTTGGCTGGCAGACACAAAGTTTTGCGGCCGAAACTATTGCACCTGCATAGGAAACTTGAAATTATACTCGCACATATCCTTTGCCTATCCTTACAATCTAATTAACTGTCATTGTGTTAAAAAGACGCCAAACTGGCAACCAAAACTCGCTGCCAGCCAAAGGCATCCCCTCCTCCTCCGCCAGCTCTGAACAATGACAGAGCCGTAACTGGCAGCCCGTAGCCCTTCGTCCGTCTTCCTTGGCTGCTTGCGTGTCAGTCCTGAGCCGCGCCGCGTTGCAAGCAAACGCCCCCCTCTCCACCCCCCCCTGGAGCGCGTCACGTCATTTGAGGCGCTAATACTAATGCGTTGGCAATAACTAGGGCTACACAATTCCAATTCCACATGCAAGGGCAGTTCTATGGTGCTCCGTGCTGCTCCGTGGTGCCCCACGTGCCGTCAGCCTTCGGAAACTAATCAATAGCGCAAAAATTTTACGTTTAATTAAAAATGTCTGCGTGTGTAAACCGGGCAGGTGGCAGCGCCTCAAGACAGCGACTGTCTTGTGACTATGCAAAATGCCAAAGCCCAAGCCGGGATGTCGGCGGAGTCGGTGCTAGTTAGCCAGTGCCGTAGGGCACGTGGCATTAACCGAACTGTCAGAATGATAATTGCATTGCATAATGCATAATTACGCCTAACGGCGGGAGGGGGTGGGGGAGGGCAAACAAGGCCACAAAGTTTCACTCAATCAACTTGCAGCTAGACTTAATTATAGAATGCATTATTAAATATGTAGAAAGGATACAAGAATTTTTCATATAATTTCATTATTAGTTATTATATATATTTGTGGATTTTCAGTCTAGTTAGGCTCAATTATAAAATACATTAATAAATAAATATATGAAGTATAATTAAATATG